TAGAACAACTGAATAACAGTTGTCCCTGGGTGCCAGGCATTATAAATAATAACATTTATTCCTTCTTTACACTTTTGTATATTTTATAAATATTCTGTATCTCTTCTAAAACCACAGTGAGACATTTATGTTAAAGTGAACGAGGAATATGTTGTTTTGACACTGTTTTTGCAATGCCAGGGACTGAACCCAGGGCCTGTGCATGTGAATCAAAGCAAGTGTTCCACTACTGAGCAACATTCCCAGACCTCAACACATTTTTAAAGTTGAAGATTTTAATTTGTATGAAAATTTCCAGCTGAATATACAACCTAAGTTTTAAACAAGCATCCCTGTGGAAGGAAGCTCTTTACTACAGTCGTCTAAAAAGTATTATTGGATGAAGAAGTCTTTATTTTAGTATATGACAGCAACCAAAGAACTTACCATATTTGACTCATATTTCCTTACATTAACAAACAGTAGCACCCTGGTCAGACACTTATTCCCGTGTTGCACTTGGCTGTACAAACTGGCGTGAAGTTTCAAAACATGTAAGCACAAGACGGAAGCTTATCGATGGCTTTGACTAGAAATACATTATTGAAAGCATTCAGACCCTTCTAGTGGACTTTTGTCTTAACTTTGTGTTGTTTTCAGCTTTCCAATACAATGTGAAAGGAGGCAAATACTGTATTTGTTTTTCAGCTGTGGCAGACATGGTTTAAGTGGGTAGAGTTCCGGAAGATGTAAATTCCTTCTGACTGCAATCATGCGATAATCCATAGGGCTGAAGTAGCATTGCTCAAGTGTTGACTTACCTGATAATGCTTTAAAAATTACATTTTTCATTTTCTGGCAGCAGGATTAGGTAGGTTTTATCTTACAAGAAGATACACACAGAAGGGTACAGTAGATACTGATATGGTGATGAAATTTTGTCAAAATGTAATTTCCTGCTACTAAATCTCATGACAGGCTCATCATATTTCTGGGTTCAGAAGCTATTCCCCAATGATGTAATGGAGAGAATGTTTCACAGAGCGTCACCGTTTGGTATTGACAGTGTCTTCTGTTGAGGAGCTGTGTTGCGTTTTGGTTTTCAGTTTATGCGTATCACCAGTCAGTTTTTGTATTTGAAAAGTAGTGTAGTAATATTTGCTATGTGTGGTGGGTGTCTGCCCGTTGAGGTTGTGGATTGTAAAGTGCATGGAATGTACACAGGGTCATGGGTCATGTCGTCATAGTTGGTGCTTAGTCCGGTCTCTGTCGTTGCATGTGTGTTTGCCACTCCCGTTTTCAAATGTATTCCTAAATTGCAATAGCTTGTGCATACAGAGCCTAGCCTCTCTTCAGATGTGTTGGTTTAGTCAAATCCAGTCTTTCTGGACTGCAAGTATGCCGTGATAAAGATGTGGGGGAGGAACCTAAGTCCCATGAAGCCTATGAGAGGTCTGTCTGTGAAGTCCTGATACTTCCTAATGACGAACAGCACTATGCTTTTTCAACTTCACTTTTGGAACTCTTTAGCTTTAAGTAGTAGCTTACTAGGAACCATTAGCCCTACTTAATCAGGCCCCTTCATTCACCATATTTGCCTGTGTCCCCCGAATTCCCTCTGGGTCTCCTGCGCGATCAGACAAATCATATATTTTTATGTGGGTTTATTATGGTTTATGCCCTCGGGCAGGGAGGGGGTAAATGGGGACCTTACAGAGACAAGTACTCTTGCACCGTGGCTCAGAGCTTGCCACCAGATACGCCGCCTGGCCCACAATCTCTGTTAACTTTAGCCCACGCATTTTGGGCCCGCAGTCTCTTCCCAGGTCGGTAAATGCCCCAGCCGGCGTCCATCTCTCTCTGCACACCTACCGCCTCGTGAGGACCTCCTGGCTCCGGGGTTCAGTCCCAAGATGGCTCCCAGCAGCCCCCCAAGTAGTCCCTCCTCTGGGGCAGGCCCCGCCCCTTGGAGGAACTAGCCAATTGGGAGACAGCCTGTGACAGCTTTTTGGCTGTCTCCAGAGATCAGGCTAAGACTGCTGCCCTAGAGACAGGACTGACTGAGGTAGAGAAGGGAGTTGCAGAAAGAAATGGGAACTTGAGAAGGCATCCCAGAACCCTGCAAACAATGGCTGCATGTTTGGAATAGGCATGCAGCCTCCAACAGGGCCACGGTGAATGACAGTTCTTATTGAGATCTGCCTGTTAAAAATCCATGTCACTACTGGGTAGCTAGCCTTTATGTACAGTGACATGCAGACACTATTGTGCAAAGACAGACAGGTGTGAACTTCACTTCAGACTCCTCTGTGGCCTTCCATCATTCCCCCATGTCACCCCGTTTTCCTTTTTTCATAGGCTCCTAAATTGATGACATCAAAGGGTGATGTCATCATTTTGTGACTAATATGTGTGTTGGTAAGGATTCATGATCAAAGACTCTTAAAAGTAGTGTACTAAAACTTTGGCAGGAAGATATGTGATGAAGGTATGTGCTCTGTCTTTTTCTTTCCTGCTTTTTTTTTTTTTTTTTTTTGAGACAGGGTCTCCCTGTAGCCCCAGCTGGCCTGGAACTCACTATGTAGACCAGGCTGGCCTTGAACTCACAGAGATCCGCCTGCCTTGCTTATGGAAGATGAAAAGGGTGGTTCCTAGTGGCCTAAAGCACATAGTGAGGCCATATTTTGTCTCTTCTCCCAGGGCCCCCTAGTTTCTGCCCTGTACACCCATGCAGGTTGGCACATGTCATGATAACTCTGGGTACGGTTTGTTCGCTCAGCCCTCCTGGAGGAGCGCCAGATAAGAAATGAGAAGCACACTGCATGCCCTTTTCTTTTCTCCCATTGTATATTTGGCAGGTTATTTGTCACGAGTCCTTTTATATAGTGTGGCCCGCCTGCCTAATTTTAGGCCCAGAGCTGTGAAGCTATGTCTAGCTGTATCTTGATATTCTGGTGGGAACATTCTGATATGAGTTCAGGAGAAACTTGAAAATAAATGCAAACCCTGGAGGTTGGCTGAGAAGTTTCATAATCCAGCTGGGGCTGTTGGAAGGATGAACTGGCCTTTTTCCCCCTGAATGAAGTCCTGTGTCTCTGCAGATCAAGGGAGAAGCCCAGGACACTTTTTTATTTGTTTGGTTTGCTTTGGTGTCTCCATCCTAGGTCTTTATTAGTAAGTAAAAAAGTAGTTTGTCTCTAAAGGCAAAGTTAATATTTTAAAATAAACAAAAATCTCCTCATAAAGGAGTCTTCATTTGGTACACTATAACTTATCTGAAAGCCATTGTGTAAATAGTGGTGGATCAGAATCCACTCCTTCAGAAAGAGAGAGAGGCCAGGCTTGGTGGTTCACACCTCCTATAATCCCAGCACTCAGAAGACTGAGGCAGGCAGACAGCCAGTGTAAGGACAACTTGGGCTGCATAGTGAGACCCTGTCTCTACAAAAAAAATAGGAAGGGGGGCAAATAGGGGAAAACAAACATTGGTCAGCATTTATGCTTGTGAGTTTTGGGAACCATTGCTCTCCTTGTAGCTAAGGTGAACCTTGATCATATCTCAAAGCATCAAAGCAGGCATATCCCTGCAATTAGATAAAGACCTTGTGGACTGTCTGTAGAGGTTTTCATCATGTACCTGCTGTAGATCTGTAGATTTAGCTCTTTATGCTCCTTTTAAGAATCATGGCAGTCCTGTAAAGCGTCCTTCTCATGGCCTACCCATGGCTGGTTTCTCACCTCCCTGGCCTTGTTTTATCTTTGATGGCAAGTGTGTTGCGTGATTGCCCTTTGTTCAGCTCACATTCCTTAACTTCCTGCTATGTGGCAGGCTTTGTGTTAACACTGGAGCCACAGTCTCTGTCTCCACATCCCCGAACTTCCCAAACGTTTAGTTAGAAGTCGTTTAGTTAGAAGTATTCTTCCTCTCCTCCATGCATCCAGAGCTTTCCCACCTCCATGCGTCTGTCATGAAGTTCACTTTTCTTTGCATTCTATCAGCTTGTGAATGAAGCTTGCCTGTTTTTCTAGAATTACAAGAAGCAAAGCTTAGAGCAGAATTCAACTTTGACTCCTCCTTGGCACTGAATGCAACAGCTTACTCATTCAACAAGTATTTATGATAATCTACTCTGTGCCACAGACTGTTCAGGACACTCTATAAATATTGATATCTATAGATTAACTTCTGAGTGCATGAAAAGTAAATACTTCTAAAGGACAGTCTGATACAATACTTGAGAGAAAAAGACGCTCTAAGAGGCTGTCTTCTTGCTGAAGGAGAATTGTACATAATGCCCTGTTGAGGTCAGTTTTCTTGAATTTCAGGGAAGAAATGCTATGCTTTTCCCCTAAACAACTTATTTCTATGAGACCTAAATTGCAATCATTTTCTTTTGTTATTTAATGATTAACTATGTCTGTTTTGCTTGGGTCTCCTTATGCATCTGAATTTGTGTGTGTGTGTGTGTGTGTGTGTGTGTGTGACTGAAATTCTTATGTCAAACAATGTCACATTAAAAACTGATTTCACGGCTGGAAAAATAAAAATAAAAATAAATAAATAAAAACTGATTTCAGATTTTTGTAATGTTAAGCTGTGCATCCTCAGATGCTAAAAATTTCAGTTGACTTTTAATTAAAGAAATTTGAACATAGACTGATTGTAAGTGTACGTCATATTTTATAGTATTTTTAAGTGGGAATTAGAATATACATTTTTTGCTTCAATCATTATCCCAAAGAATTTTGTATTTATTTGTTGCTGAATCTATGAACTGTCCCAATCACATTGATTTGTTTACTGATTTAATATTGAGTACTTTTAGTTTGTGATTGCTTTAGACTCTTGCATTTTGAAAGAAAAGTTAAATACAGTGTGTTGGTCCTGTTTGGCACACGGTACTTCTTCTGCCTGTAATTCTACTTCAGCTGATACTTCTTCCCTTCTGCTCCCAAATGGTGACTGAATGCTCATTTCTAGCTGCCTGTGGTGACAATTCTTTTTTCCTTTTCCTTTCCAGAATGAAGACCTAAATGACCTCAGCAAATCCTCCTTTAACTCATGGGTACCCAGACTCGAACTATTTCACAACTCACAACCAGGACCTCACATCTTCCTCCTCAGTAGATGGTACGACACATCCATTTCAGTTTGTTTACTTTGTACAATCCTCAGGAGATCATTGACTGAACTGCACGTTCTATATTGTGCCAAGCAAAAAACAAAACATAACAAAAAAACACTGTGACACTGAGCAATGAGTCTGCGTGAAATTCATCTTGAACCTTAAGGACTTCGCTGGCCGCAGTGAGCTGGTGTGCCTCCCATCATGCCACAGGAGAATGGGTTTACTCTCATTGAATTTACAAGATACGTTTCATCTGCTGCTGAAACTGTGTTCCACAAAGTTCCATTGTAAATGCTTTCATATGAAACTGTTCACGTTGGGTGGAGAGAGTATTAAATATTTAACATAGGCTTTGATTTATATGTGTAATTTTTTAATGAAATGTAACTTTTCTTACAGCACATCTTTTTCTGGATGTGGAACTGAGGTATACAATGTTCTGTTGTAAAGAGTGGAGCAAATGCTTAAAACAAGGCCAGAAAGAGTAGAATAGGGTATGAACCTTGTTTTAAGACTGTAATTCAGAAAAGTAATATAATAAGAATCATAGTGCCGTAGATGATTCTCAATCTTATGATTATATTTGCTGATACTATCTCTTGTAATATAAACTTGATGTTGAGCTGAGTTCCTTTAAGAATTAATCTTAATTTTGTATTTTGTTTTTCCTGTAAGTCAATAGGCCATGTTAATTAAACTGAAGAAGGATATATTCTGCTGGGGTATTTTGAAGTGTCAGCTTAGAATTGGTAAGTGAATGGAAGCAAACTTACAAGAAAAGAAAACCACAACCTTCTATTCTGTATATTGCAGAGACAAAGAGACACAAACTATCCCTTCAAGTCAAAAGTCTCTTTGGAATGAGCAGTGTGGGTGGTTATAAATTCTGGAAATGTCTTTCTGTTCATAATAAATTAGATGCTATTGATCTTTTCTTTCTCCTGCACCCCCACTTCTGTAAGCTTCCTGCCCTGTCCCACTATTTTTTCTGTGCAAACATCATATTTCACATATACATTGTCTTGTGAACACTGTTAAGACAAGTGAATTCTTTCTAACCAGACATTAATATTCTAGAAAGCTTTCCCTCCCTCCCTTCTTTCTTTCTTTCTTTCTTTCTTTCTTTCTTGTCCCACTATACAGCCCAGGCTGAACTGAAACGTGCTATGAAACCCACCAGGAGGAATTATTTTGTCTTTAGGCTTTGTTTTACTTATTTGAGGATGTTTTAAAACTAAGGTTACTTGCAAAGAGCATAATAGAATTAAGAAGTATGAGGTCATGTGTAGAAACTTGCACTCAGTTCACAGTCTATCAGTGGCACTATCAGGGTAACATGTTATGTTCCTTAAAACTGGTATCTTGCGTTTTGTTTTTTTTTAACTGAATGTAATTGGCCCATTTGCCCTGGTGGGTGCTGGCCTATTAGTGATTAGTTAGTAAAACACAGTGTACAGAGAGCACATACAGCATAATGGCCTGCTATTGAAACATTTAGCCGGCAGTGAACATGTGAAGGCTTTTTTTGTTTGGAAAGCCTAAATGTCTTGGAATTTTTTCTTGTCCGATAGAAATGGCACTGAACATAACTGAAGATGTTTCCTTTAGAATTTTATGTTATTTTACCAGGAAACTTCCTAAAAGTAAAGTGAAATAATGCAGTTATCAGACTCCCTCTGAGTAAGTGTGGGCTGTTTATCAGGCATTACTGGCCCTGGTGTGGGGAGGAGCAACACTATTTCTGGAAAGGGTTGAGCTCCCTGGGTCAGGCTACAAGAAAGGAGCTCGGGTTGGAGGGCACTGCAGTGACCACCGCCCTGATCAGCTGGCTGGGGACTCCTCACTCTACTCAAAGACAGTGGAGATAAATGGACCCCCACCCCCCAACTGCTGAGGCCCATGTTAGCATTCATTCAACCAGATGGCATGTACCTCACAGACTGCTGTACAGTGCCCGTTGTTGCAGATCTTAATCATTTGCATGCTCATCAGTTTCTAAGATAAATAGGTCTCTAGTCATAAGAATCCATTGTTTTCAAGGAACTCGCTGAATGATGTTTGCTATTAGTAAAGAATCCCGCCAGTTTTAAAAATCTGATATGAGAGTTGTTTTTTTAAACATGTCAAAAAAGACTTTCATTGTCAAAGTAACTTTTCATTTGTCAAGCATTCTGACTCATTTCAAGTGCCTGGCTCTCTTCCTTTGAGGATTTAAGTAATTAGAGAGAAACCAGTGAGCAAGGCCAGCCCCAACCATTCTACTATAAAGCTGGTTGTAATTTCTCAAGGAACCTAGACTTCAAATATGTATGACCAAGTTACCTCTGCATGCAAGATTTTCAAAATTTGGGGTGAAAACAGAAATGAACACGCTGGGAAATCATCTCAGTTTCTATATCTCTTGCTTTTTGTTGAACCAATAGCACAAAAGTAGAAATTCTTATTTCATCTTCTAGAGTTACCTGAGCCGGGTTTGACACAGTATCAAGCTTTACTGACTTAAAACTGGAAGTCGCTGGTACTCAGGCTGAGACCTCATGCCCTGGTTCCTTGAAGGGTTTACTTTAAGCACATGAGCTGCTAAGTCCTTATGTTCAATTCTTATTGAAGAGAATTGGCTTTTATCCATTTCAAAGTATCTTCAGGCCAGCCAAGGACTTACATTAATGGGGCATCTAGCGGCCTCTGTCTAACCTAGAAGTTAGTGGCTTTTTCTTTATGAGACCAACCTTTCATAGCATTCTTTCTTAAAGACTTGGGCAGAGTTTTAAAATTCTCCTTTGTGAAAAGAACAAATATGTTCCCTGGCTTTGATGAAACCTTTGTTTTGGGCAAAAACATAGCCCTAGAACCCACTGGAAGTGAGGGGACTCCATTAATGATCAACCACCTGGGTCAATAATGGCAAATCAGTACTGATGTTACATGTGTGACAATTTCTTGCTAACTTTCAAAGGTCAGGGATTCTCTTGATTAATCTAGTGACTGAAAAAGTGGATCTATGTGAAATCCTCTAGCCAGAAGTAGAGATTTTTAGCCTGTCTTAACTTGGCTTTTGTCTTTTAGCTGTCTTTTAAATGTGAGACACAGTATTAAGAAAAACTTTTACTGTACTGTAAGAAACAATATTTTACAGTACCAAAGCCCTGTTTAATTAAATCTTATACCCTGAATGCAGTAGACCATGTAGTTGGGAACACCTTTACAACAGGTCTTTTAATGATGGGGGAAGGAGGCTCACCACATAATAACAGTAAGAGCTACAATGAACAGTACCAATGTGAAAGGCTGTGGCTCTGGGTAATAATGAACCTCTATTTGCCTCCTGCTGCTTTGGTAGAGCTCTGTAGGTCGGACTATGACACAGCAAGGCCCTAGGATCAAGACCCTAGGAGTTAAGACTTCTACTGGGGAGAAAAGGACTCTTTGGAAGGCAGGTGGAAGAAAGTTGAGGGAAATAAAATAAGAAATAGCTTCTTTGCAGTGCCCAACCAGGAGGGTTAGTGTTGCCAAGGCACACTGAACATTAGTAGAAGGTGATGCTAATCCTCATATGTATGAACTGCTAGAGACTTGAAAGAAGATAGGTGTTCTTCCAGGGTATGAGCAAGTGTAACCTTCTTAATAGAGGAAGACTTCTAAGCTGGGCTGTGAGCTTAGTCATAGAGAGCAGAGATAGCCTTTCCTGTAGTTAGTAGAATAAGAAGTATTAAACACTGGGCCTTCGGTCATCTCTGAGCCAAGGCCGAACTGTGAAGGTTCTCCCAGACCTCACTAAATCAGTCTCCTGTGTGGCTGCAGAAAGTGTGGCTCAGCTGGTGTGCTGGTTTTCTATGTCTCACTACTTGTAACCAGAGCACCAAGGAGATTCTGAAAGGGGACTGGTACTCCAAGCATTTGGCCCCACTCTTAATAAAGAGCTTATAATTAGCAGGTACAGTTAGGAAATGTCCGACTTGGAAGAGGGGTTGTTTTCTTCCCCTAGCACGTCCATGACTCGGCATTTGTGATGTCTACACTGAGAGATGGGTGTGTTAGCCTTTTACCATTCACCTGCTATTTAGAACTCTTTGCTCCTGCTGCCCTTCCCCCTAGTGTTAACCAATGTGCCATATCATAGGACAAATCGACTACCCAGGAAAACGTGTCTGTGTTTGCATATACCTTTAACGCTAGCTTTTAAAATTTTGTTTTGGTCCATTTTAGAACTTTGTCATTGGCCTAAAAGTATAGTTTCCAGAATAATTTTCCTTGTGAAGTACTTTCCTTACACCTCTTGGCTACAGGGTGGGCCAGATGAATGCCATCTATCTTTCCATTTGTGTGTGCAGTTCGGTTTATCACCTGAAGATGGTGCTGCTCATGGTGCTGCTTCATCTGTGTACAAAAGACCGACGCATGGTCTGTATTGCTACCAAAACATTTACTGTATATATGTGGATAACAACATATGTGTTATGTATATATGTAATGGGTACCAGGCCAGGTTTATACTTTTATTTAGAAGTGTTTCACATTTCCAAGTTTTCTTTATAGTATTATGCTTGTGTTCAGTTCTTTTTCCCCTCCTGATTCTGTCTGGTACTGAGAGTTGTAATGTCTTCATCGTTAATTAAAGAGAACTGTCTAAATGAATTCACAGATGTGAATGTCAATCATTCTTACGGTCTTTAATTATGGGACATGGAACAGACACAGGGGCATTTGGTTGGGTAAGGGCAGTTTACACTGTGAACGTGTTTCCAAAGTGATTTTTGGAACAGATAAATTTACCTCACACTATCTCATTTTGGTTGGCATTCTGGGGCCAGTGTATAAATAAAAAGCTCAGAAAAGATTTTTAACTACTTTGTGGTGATACCAGGGAGAAAGGTGTGGGAGAAAAAAAAAATGTGTCTTGCAGGTGGAAAGATTTGTGTTTCATTATTGTTCACTGGGACAACCGGATCAGCCTTGATTGAAGCTGCCTGCACACAGAGCCCCTGTTCAAATACAGGCTGTGGTTTGGGGATCTTAGCTGCTAGTTCTGGTGGACTGATGACACTGGGTAATGAGATAAAGGTGTAGTACTTTTCAGCTCTGGCTAT